AGATGAGCCCATTTACTTGTTCCAGTTAATGACAGCTTGAGATCCTGGTGGCCTAGTGATAAAAGCTGCACTGCAATCCCAAAGACATGTGGTTCAAATTCACCAACTGCTCCATAGGAAAAGGATGGGCAACCTCCTCCCATGCAACTTATTGCCTCTGAAAACCCACTGGAGGGTGAGCTTATGAGTCAGTTCCAATTCAACAGTACATCACAACATGTGTGCTAGAAGGAGCCCTAGTGCTATAATGAGTTATGTATTGAGCTATTTACAAAAAAAGTCAGCCGTTCAAATCCACCAGACATCCCATGGGATAAAGATGAGGCAATCTCTTCTGGCAAAATTGACAACCTCAGAAACCCAGTGGAGGGCCACCATGAATCAAATTCAGCTCAAGGACAGTGGGGTTTTTAATGTCTCTTATATTTTATTCCTATTTAAATGAGCTTTGACAACTGGATGAGGAAAACATATTAATAAATCATACTCTCTTTCATAAAAATGAAAGCAAACCCACTGCTGTCATGTTTATTCCAACTCATAGATCTTGATACTTTTACTGAACGCAAGATCTCTCTCGTTGTCATCAAGTTGAAACCAACTCAGAGCTGGCCTTCCACTGGGTTTCAGAGGCGGTAAATCACCAGGGGGAAACTGTTCATCTTTCTCCTATGGAGCAGCTGGTAGATTCGAACCTACAGAAAGGCATGGCCTTTGAGTTAGCAGCACAGCTTCTAAAGGACTAGGTCACCAGAATGCTAGGTAGCATACTATAATAAAAAAAAAATACAGTAAACTTTCTGCCAATTGTTGTTGTTGTTGTTATGTGCCGTCGAGTCGTTTCCGACTCATAGCGACCCTATGCACAACAGCCCTAAACCCTGCTCTATCCTGCGCCAACCGCACCGCCTCTGACACACCCATCCCTATTACCCCAGTCACCGAATCAATCCATCTCATAGAGGGTCTTCCCCTCCTGCGTTGTCCCTCAACCCTCCCAAGCATGATGTCCCTCTCCAAGGACCCGTCCCTCCTGGCAACATGTCCAAAGTATGTCAGACGAAGCCCCAGAATCCTTGCCTCCAAGGAGTAGCTTGGTTTAATCCTCTCCAAGACAAATCCGTTTGTTTTCCTGGCAGTCCAGGATACATTCAGTACCCTTCCCCAGCACCACAGTTCAAAAGCATCCACTCTCCTTCTGTCCTCCCTAGTCATTGTCCAACTCTCTGATGCATAACAAGCGATTGCAAATACCATGGCCTGTATCAGGCGCACCTTAGTCTCCAGAGAGACACTGTTGCTCCTGAGTACTTTAGAGAGGTCCCTAACAGCAGACTTTCCCATCGCAATACGCTTTTTGATTTCCTGACTGCTGGTGCCAAGAGTGTTGACTGTGGAGCAGAGCAAACTGAAGCTGTGAACAATCTCAATCTCTTCGTCATCCATCCTGACGCTGCCAATTGGTCCAGTGGTGAGAATCTTTGTCTTCTTGACATTGAGCCTCAGTCCATACTGAAGGCTGCAGTCTTTGACCCTTCGCAGCAAGGGCATGAGGTCCTCCTCAGTTTCAGCAAGCAGGGTTGTGTCATCTGCATAACGCAGATTGTTAATAGATCTTCCACCAATCCTGATGCCACAATTCTCCTCATAGAGCCCAGCCTCTCGGATAATCTGCTCTGCATACATGTTGAAAAGGTATGGAGACAGGATGCATCCCTGGCGTACACCCTTCCCTATTTTGAACCATGCAGTGTTACCCTGCTCTGTTCTGATGACTGCCTCTTGATCCAAGTACAGGTTTCGCATTAGCACAATTAAATGTTCTGGGATTCCCATTCTTCTCAGAGTCAGCCACAGTTTGTTATGATCCACACAGTCAAATGCCTTTGCATAATCAATGACACACAGAGAGAAATTCTTCTGGTATTCTCTGCTTTCAGCCAAGATCCATCTAACATCAGCAACAATATCCCTAGTACCACGACCCCTTCTAAACCCAGCCTGGACTTCCGGCAGTTCTCTGCTGATGTGCTGTTCTAATCGTTTTTGGATGATCTTCAGCAGAATCTTGCTTGCATGTGAAATCAATGATACTGTTCTGTAGTTTCCACACTCAGTTGGGTCACCTTTCTTTGGAATGGGAACAAATATAGATCTCTTCCAGTCAGTTGGCCAAGTGGTTGTTCTCCAGATTTCTTGGCACAACTTGGTGAGCACATCCAGGGCAACATCTGTTATCTGAAATACTTCAATTGGTATACCATCTATTCCTGGGGCCTTCTGCCAATTACATTATTAAAATGTTGTGGGATTATAAAATTAACAACAATTAAGATTACTACCATGAGAATAAAGAAGGTAAAGATATATTAAAAATAATTAAAGATCCTGGAGCTATTAATCAACGTGATAGAAAGGAGGAAAAAGTGCAAAAAAACTAGGCAGTGGGGTTATGTTATCAGCTGAGCCTGGCAACATAGGAGGAAGAGAGCATTCCAGAGAGGAGTGTTATGTACTTCTCTAGATAGATCAAGTTCAAGGTAGAGGTGGCAAATTCCAGCTGAGATCTGACTACTAGGATTTTGAGAATGGTAGTCTAAAGGAGGAGTATGAATAAGAGAACAGAAAGCTGTCAACGAGTTCCTCTCAAAGGCTTGCAGAAAATTGAGCAGCATTAAGTATGCAGGATGAAATTCCTTGAGAGTGAAACTGGAAAGCCTGCAGTCAGGGATGTCTTCAAATTATTGAGGAGCAAAGATTTTAGTTTGGGGATCAAGGTGTACTTTATTCAAACCATGGTCTTTTAAATTCCTTGCTATACTGCTGAGTGAATGAGGATGAAAGAATAATTGACGCCTTTGAACAGTGGTGCTAGAGTAGAGTACTGAATATCCCATGGACTGCCAAAAGAACAACTATGTCTTGGAGAAGGTGCAGTCAGAGGGTTCCTTTGGAGGCAAAGAGGATAATTATATTTTTTTGCCTCACATACACTGGGCATGTTGGTAGGAGAGGCTATTCATTGGAGAGGGACTTCACACTTGGGAAGATGGAGAGATATTGAAGGAGAGGAAGATCAACAACCAGGTGGACTGACACAATGACTGTGGCAATGGACTTGAGTGTATCAGATTGTGGGAAAGGCACAGAATAGGATTGGGTTCAGAAGGCTTGTTCACAGGATCACTCATACTCAACTTGATGGCACCTAACAACAACAAGAATAACCCATCCTATAAAAAGTCCCCTGTTTTGTTTTTCCAATGTCAGATATCTAGGAAGCAGTGTTCTCAGAGTTAGAAATAATTGCATGTGTTCTGGATCATGAAACTTTTAAGTTAGTGAGGTTAATGTTTTTCCCTTATAAGGAGCTTAAAGGTTCTGCAGGAGATTTCTTTTGTGTTACTTTGAAGAAATAGGTAACAACAAATAAAGTAGAATGGGTCATGCTTCACTACAGAGAAAAGATTAAAAAAATAACCCAAAAAGTTACACTTCAAGTCTCATTCTCTTAGATCCTCCAAGGAGTTCACCCAACGGATCTGATGTCTTGGAATTCGCATTGTATAATTTTTACTCCAGTATTTTTAGTTCTCACTTAGAAACATAAATAAGATAAAGCAGACTCCACCTTTCAGAAGAAAAGTCTTCTATGTATTCTTTTTTTAAATTTTATTATGTGTGTGTGTACACCATCAAATCAGATCTGACTGCTACAGCATGAGATTGTCCCTCCTTTTCCAGCAGAGAATCTGGTGGATTCGAACCATGCACCTCTGGGATTGCAGTGCAGCTTCTTGCCACTAGGCCACCAGAGCTCCCTTTTCTAAGTACTCTTGACCCTAATGAGCAATCTGTAAGGGTCTCTTCAAAGTTTGAAAAATTCTAACTTATAGTTTCTATTTTATTCTTATTAGACACACCTGAGTAACTTATGATATTCTCAAATACACATCACTACGAGGAGCCAGGCTCTGGAGAAGGACATTCTGTTTGGTAAAGTAAAGGTATGAGAAATTCTCACTGAGATGGACTGACACAAATGGATGGCTACAACAATGGATCCGAACATACCCAGGGGCACAGAGACAATGCAGGAGCTGTCAGCACCTCATTCTATTACACATTGGTTACCATGAGTTGAAGTAAACTCAATGACAACCAACAACGATAATATTCCAAAAGTTAAAAAAGGTTCTTTTGATCTAAATATGAAATATGAACAGTGGAGAAGGCAAATTCAAGGATTCAGTTGTTCAAGGATTACAACTCCAGATCCTGATAATCAACCTATATTTTTTATATCTTGACACAGATCATGCCCAAAACTGATACGATTTATATGCAGAGAGCTCTCTCTCTCACTCTCTCTCTCTCTCTCTCTCTTTCTCTCTCTCTCTCTCTCTGTCCAAACCAAGAATATACCTCATTTCTCCACCATGTAAGTATAAATGGCAAGTCAAAATCACCAAAAATATATTGCAAAGATTGCTAACCACATTGAACATTTATGGTGGTGATGGCACAAATACTTCATTGTTTTCAGTCTTAAAGGAAACACACCTTTTTAAAATGCACAAGACCAAAATTTCTGCAAGAATTTATTACCTTATCTGTAATTAGTTTTCTATACAACTATGAATTGGCCAAATATTCTCTTTCTTCCCATATTCTTTCAAAAAGACCCCTGTAAAGATTTTCTGAAATAAGAATTTTATGCTCCCCTTCCATTTACACATGGGAATGGTGTACATCCTGTTTTAGTAACCTGAAGTTATCCCTCTTTATGAGGCATAAAACTTCTCCTCAACAAATAAACAAGGCTAATGAAATGCTCTTAAGAAGACAGGCATCAACAACACTAATGAAAACATCCAGAGACGTCTACAAACACCCACCTGCGGGGGTGGCTATATAATAGTCTCAGGAAGGAAGGAGACTTCTGGGGTCAGGTAGCTTGAGTTCTGCATCTAGTGGGTCTGCTCTTTGCTTTCAGTAGGATGGCTTCTGACTGTTCTCCTACAGACCACTCTTCTGAATCTGGTGCCAGAGCTTCTGACTGTTCATCAGTTTCAACTTGCTGTGCAGAAACTGCTTGCCACCCTACTGCCTGTGCTACGTCCAGATGCCCGACCCCAACCTTCCTATCCAGGTCCCGCTTGTCACCTGGTTGCCTCACACCATGCTATTTTGCCGGCAGTTGTACTATTCCGTGCTTGGTAGGGAACTGTGCGTGGTGTGAGGATGGAGTGTTCAACAGCAATGAGAAAGAGACAATGCAGTTCCTGAATGACAGACTTGCCAACTACCTGGAAAAGGTACGGGGCCTGGAAGAGGAGAATGCACAGCTCGAATGCAGAATACGAGAACAGTGCGAACAGGAAATCCCCCTGGTGTGTCCAGACTATCAGTGTTACTTTGACACCATTGAAGATCTCCAACAAAAGGTCTGGTATCTCCATGCTCTACTGCCTCTGCTTTTCCAGTCTGTGATTTGCTTTAATACTGTTGCTATTGTTAAGTGTCATCGAGTATAGCATAACTCATAGCAACCCGATGAACAAAAGACCTGAGAGTATTTCAGGTACGAAAAGGAAGCCAGGGAGAGGGGGTTTTCAAAAGCTGCTGTGATGTGGTTGAAAAACAAGTGGGCCAATGGTCAGGAAATAACACCATTAACCGAGCGCTGCCACTAAATGAAAACTCTTTGCTGGCCAGTTGGAACAGACTCACAGCTGACCCTCCAGCGGTGTTCTGGAGACTGTAAATAGCAAAGGAAGACTGTCCACCTTTCTCCTGAAGAGCCGCTGGTGGATTTGAACCCTTGCAGTAGCAGTGCTCTTCACTATAAACTATACTGCCAGAGATGTCTCTAATTAGTTAAGTGAAGGTAACAAAGTTGTTACCTATTGACTTTAACTTTATCATTTATAAGCTGAGGGGAAACTGTACTATGTCTAAAATCACTTCTTATTTAACACTGTATATTTATGAATCACAGAAAATTAAGGGTCACATTCTAATCATAAAATTCTACCTAGTAGAAGCATTTTGTTCTTCTGTTTGTGAATTACTATTACTATTACTATTACTATTACTATTACTATTACTATTACTATTACTATTACTGTGGGTGAGGCCCTATACAGTCATAATGCAAACTACTTAGTCCTTGGAAAAAGACATCATGCTAGGAAAGGTGGAAGATAGAGAAGGAGAGGAAGACCTTCAGTATAAAGGACAGACACAGTGACTGTAAACATGGGCTCTAGCACATCAGAGATCATCAGGATAGTGTAGGATAGCACAAGGTTCAAGTCGGTCATTCACAAGGCCATTGACTCGAGGACACCTAACAACAGCAGCATAGAAGAAAATGTCACTGCTTTCAGTGCCAGGAATACTGCAGAATGTCTCAAAGTCACTGCTATCAAATCAATTCCAAGTCATAGCCACCCTACAGGACAGAGAGTAACTGCCCCATAGGGTTTCCAAGGCTGGAAAATTTATAGAAATAGCCTCAACTTTCTCCCAAAGAGCAGCTGGGGGATTCAAACTGCTGACCACAAGTGTTTCAATCACTAACATCATGGTTTCTTTAAAAAGTAAACAAAAACCCTACTTTATTTCTTGATTTTGTTGCAAAAGTGACTTTTATTTTCCTTCACAAGTGACACTGTTAATCTGAAAAGTAGGATGTCAGCTAGCTCTGGTAGCTTAGTGTTAAGGAGGTGCACTGCCAACATAAAGGCACACAGTTCTAATCCACCAGCTGCTCCGTGGGAGAAGGATGAGCAATCTCCTCCCTTGGAATTCACTGTCTCTGAAAACCCATTGGAGGGTCAGTTATGAGTTAGTTCTTATTTGACAGCAAACAACAACAACAACATGCTGGTTTATATTTTATTGTAAGTATTTTAAGAGAAAGTTACATAGCAATTAAATTATTAGGTATCTAGGATTCTTTCAAAGAGTCATTTATAGCATGGTAACTCACTCCCCAGATCTTGTGCACAAAGGCAGAGAATTCCAGACTTGCTGTACAACTTGACAACTGCAAACTGGCTGCTGACGACTTTAGGTCAAAGTAAGTTTAAATTTGAAAATCATTACTATGTCTTCCTCTTCCTTCTCTTTTCCTCTCTGACGCACACTCACATTTGGTGCACAAAATATCTTTTGTATCATTTTTAACAAAAATGCTTCTAGAACCCTGTTTTATAATTCTTTGGAATGTCAGAAAAAACGAATCATGTGGCTCCTTTAAACCCACCTGCCACTGCTCAGGCTACCTCAGCATTTTACAGACATCTGGCGGAGGAAGCACTGGCTGCATCTCTTTTGCTCTGACAGGTATGAGAGTGAGCTGTCCTTCCGCCAGCTGGTGGAGGCTGACATCAGCGGCCTGCACAGGATCCTGCAGGACCTGACCCTGTGCAAATCTGACCTCGAGGCCCATGTGGAATCCCTGAAGGAAGACCTCCTTTGCCTTAAGAAAACCCATGAGGAGGTGAGCAATATGGCAAAATCCCTGAAGGCTCTGAGAGTAACAGAGTTAAACTAACACATATCATTGCTTAAGTATATAAACTGAACCTGGGTTGATGTTGCTCAGGGTGGAACAAACTTATTCCAGGCAAGTTTACTCTTGAGCTGCATCATTTCAGTACATCTCTGAATATAAATGGTGTAAAGGAACTCTAGCCAGCACCATATGAACACTTGCCATTGCTTTATGCCACTCTAAACATCAATCCAAAAGATAACAAAACTGAACTAGTAAGAGCCAAATAGAAATCTGTTCTGGAAAACAATGTACTTGAATTTTGTAAATAAACTAGTATAATAATGAAAAAAAAGAGGAGGATACACCTGCAATGCTTCTAAATGATTCTACATGTTCTATAATTAAAATAATAAAATATAATGTATATGATTATTCCATGTTGACAAGGTTGGGGAATGAAAAAGTGGAATAATGTAACAAAGAATGTGTTGTCAGATGCCGTCAAGTATGACTTATAAACAACAGAACTGAATCCTGTTCTTAACTGTGCCATTCTCACCATCTCTGATACATGTCAGCCCATTTACTGCAGTCACTGTGTCAATCCATCTCAATAGATTGATGATAATTATATCTGGTGGCCTAGGAATAAAAAACTGCCTGCAATCCCAAAGACAAGTGGTTTGACTTCACCAGCTGCTCTGTGATAGAAAGATGGGCAATCTCCTCCTGTGTAATTTATTGCCTCTGGAAACCCACTGGAGAGTCAGCTACAAGTTGATTCCAGCTTGAAGGCACATGACAATAACCACGTTATATACATTTTTCAGAATAGCAGAGGCATGGATAAGTGGTAACAAGACAGTCAAAAGCTGACTACCTGAGTCTATACTCCGTACGTTAGCCACTGTTAAAAACAAACACCAAAGCCACCAAAATAAATATGATGACATTGGGAAGCAATCCTATCAAACTGGTTCCCCTCCAACGCACTTCATGACATTCCTTACCCTCTTCCCTTTCAGGAGGTTAACTTGCTTCGTGAACAGCTTGGTGACCAGCTCAATGTAGAGCTAGAAACTACTCCCACGACTGACCTCAACAGGGTCCTGGATGAGATGCGCTGTCAGTACGAAATGGTGCTCGCCAATAACCGCAGAGACGTGGAGGAATGGTTTGTTGCTCAGGTCAGTGACTAGAGCTTTCACACAACAGCAGATTTCCAGATTTCTGTCTTGGTTGCTTTCCTTAACCATGTCTCTGTTGCAGACAGAGGAACTGAATCAGCAGCAGCTGTCCAGCGCAGAGCAGTTGCAAGGCTGCCAGACGGAGATCTTAGAACTGAAACGTACGGCCAATGCTCTGGAGATTGAGCTCCAAGCTCAACAAAATTTGGTAGGCCAGTGGAAAGAGAACTGTTTTGTTACTGATCAAGTAGACCCAGAGACATTTATTCTCTCATCTTCCATACCCAAAGGAGAGACTCAAGTTCACATGGCAAAGGATTCCCAAGTTACAGAGGGTTGCATTACCCTGCCCCTCTGGAGCACGGCTTCTTACCCAGCTGAAAGCAGGAAGGGCAGGTCAACAGCTTTTACTGCTCCAGGAATTCCCTGGCCTTCCCTGTGGGCTTAATTGAGCACGATCCCACAGCACCTTTCAGAGACAGCAAGAGAAACAGGGACCTCTCCATCTAGAGTGCAGAGCATGATGATGAGCTTTGGTTCTCTCTTAATTTAGGCTAATTTTCCAGACTCACCAGCATCTCTAAAACAAAGAACCATTTTCAGATTTTTCTTCCTGCAGTTTTCTGGCATCAATCCACCTTTTGACTTGATCCTACACAATAGTCCAGCCAAGCAAAAACTACACCATGTATTCAAGTCACATTATTTAGATTAGGCAGGCACCCTTTGTGTGCCCTGTTAATACTACAGAGAATAACTAGATGAATAATAAATAGCTGAGCATTCATCCTGTGAGAGGCACAATGCTAATTTAATCTTCACAATAATCTTATGGGGTAAATCCCTTTACTGATTCCATTTTACGGATTAGGAGAATTGAGGCTCAGGTGATAGAGGTAAAAGCTGGAGATGCATCCAGGTGATTCAACCTGGGAACCTCTTCTGTTGACCATTCTATATTGCCTCTCCATCAAGAATTGATAACTCAGATTTCCTCCCAAAGGTGAACCATGCTTCGTAACTCTGTGTGGGCCATGTGAGTTGTAGTGGTAATAGTAATAGCTAACAATCAGGAACCCCTCACAATGTTGCCAGATAGTGTCCTAAGTCACATGGGAACTGCATATAATTCATTGAACCATCCAATGAGATAGGTACTTTGTATTCCTCGTTTTACATATGGTCAAATTTGAGCTTACAGCAGCTAAGCAAGTCACTAGCTAGAAAATACCTGAGACAAGCTTTTGATACAGACAATTTATAGCAGGAGGCTGTGCTACTCAGTTCTTTTCACCATGTCTTCCTTGTGTAGACAGAGTCACTGGAATGCACGGTGGCAGAGACTGAGGCCCAGTACAGCTCCCAGCTGGCCCAGATGCAGTGCCTCATTGATAACGTGGAGAACCAGCTGGCCAAGATCCGCTGTGACCTTGAGCGGCAGAACCAGGAGTACGAGGTGCTGTTGGATACGAAAGCCAGGCTGGAGGGTGAGATCAACACATATCGCGGCCTCCTGGAGAGTGAGGATGGCAGGCAAGTACCACGCAGTTAGCTGTAAAAGCCCCAAAGTCACAAAGGACAAGCTGAAAGGGAGGAGCTCATGTCAGAGAACCTCGTTGTCCCACAGTTCTTACCAAAGTCAAATCTCCTTAACATGGTAACAGATCTTCTGGAAGATGCCTTAAAAAGGATCTTTAAAAAGGATCTTTCTGGAAAGGAATCGATGCTAATAAGTACATGGCAATAAAAATGTCCTGAAAAGATCCTAAAGTTCAAAACAGATTAAAAATCATGTGTAATATTTCATGCTGTCCATCTCCCTTTGCTCCTGTTTTCCACTAAGTAAAATCAGAAACATGAAGAATAAGACATTTGGAAATTAAGAAAATGTGTTGCTGTGTGCCACTGAGTCAGAACCAGCTCATAGCTGACCCTCCAGCAGGTTTTTCAGAGTCATGGGAGGAGATCTTCCTGTTGCACAGTGACTGGTGGATTTGAGTCAAGTGCCTTTGGGATGTCAGTACAGCCACTTACCACTAGGCCACCAGAGGCCCCTGAAGAAAAGATATCTTATTCAGTCATCACTGTTGCATTGAGTTTGAAGTGACAGTAGGGATGAAATAGCCCTAACCCAAATGTGACTCTGGAATTTTCTGCAGAACAGAGCTTTGTCCCAGCTAACATTTTATCAATGTTTTCCTTGTTAAGTTTCATTTTGTTTTTCCTCAGAATTTCTTGCAGCCCAGATTCTACAGCCAGTCCATCAAGCAAAACCTGTAAGCCATGCTCAGCCCATGTCATTTGCACAGTTGGAAATTGCAGTGCTTGAATGCTAATGCCAAGCACAGAGGTGGAGGAATCAATGCAGCCCACTGCAGCTTCCTAGAAAGGAAATGTTTTCTAAGCAAACTCTGTCCATTTCTGCTTTATCATTTCCTCTCATCTCTGCTTATTTCTGGTATTCCAGGAATCTATAAGACTGTCTTCCTCACTTCCAAATAAAATGTCTCATTGTTTTGGGATACTAAATACAGCTTTGGAGCTTCTTACTGTTGCTATTAAAACAACACAAATTTTCATTTATTACCATCAAGTCGATACCAGCTCTTAGCAACCCTCTTTAGGCTTCTGAGATTGTACTTAGAGAAGTAACAAGAGAAAATTGCTTATATTTCATTCAACAAGTCATTGGTAGATCTAAACCCAGAGCTGCATGCCCACTGAGTTAGCAGCACAATTTGTTATGGACTGTGTGTGGGATACTATAATGCGTTGCATATACATAACAAGGCAGACTTGGGTGCTATAATGTGCCTTGTAGGTGATAAGCAGAGGGGGGTTTTCAAATAAAATGTTTTAATTGTGATTTTAATGAACATTTACAGAAAAGTTAGATTTTCATTCATTCACTGATGCACATTTTATCCCCTCTCCCTCCCTTCCCCCTCGCACAGCTCACCTTCTTTTTTATATTAATTCATTGCTGCACAATTACCTCCCCTCTCACCTCCCAAGTCCTCTTTGCAATGTACCTCTTGTTGTGGCTGTTGTTGTACATTTAATGTCTAATCATATATTCCTTGTAAACAGTTCTTTCCTTCATTTGTTCCAATGCAATGTTCATTATCTATCCACTTTTATCCTATGCGCCTCCCAACTCCCACGGTGATAAGCAGTTTTTAGCTAAACCCCTGCCATGTTTTGAGCAAGGGCAGTACCGCTTTGCTGAATCGGTACTAAGTAAGGCTAGGCGCAGGTGTCTAGTGTGATAAGGTTCGTGATTTCTGCCCCACGATGGCAAATGCCACCTCTGTCTTCAGCACTATAAGAATTCCATTGGAAAGTTCCCACAGAGCTCATCGCATGGGTGTTCACGGCTTGACTCTTCCCTACAGTCTGTGTGCACTGCAAATAAAAGTGAATTGGCAATGAATCTGAGCATCCCACTATGGACTGATGGCCTCGGTTATAACACTGGGGGCACTGTGAGCAGGATTTGAACATGACACTATGCCACCAGACCTTCTGTTGCTATATAGTAATCTAAGTTTTACAAGTAATGCTGTAATCTCAGTAAATCATTTAAAATTATACCTGTAGTGATTTAAAAGAAACCCATCATGAAAGTCTTTTAACTCCTGAAATATAAATGTTGTTGTTATGTGCTGTCGAGTCGCTTGCGACTCATAGCGACCCTATGTACAACAGCCCTAAACTCTGCTCTGTCCTGTGCCAATCATATATTATGAAAGGCATTTGTATGACTCTTTCTGAGAGGAAATTCAGGAGTAAAAATACATTATGTTTTATTTATATTATAAAAGTACTATATCATCTTTGTATCTTAAAATTTGATAAGTAAAAGGAAAAACCACACATAACAATTGCCAAAATTGAGAGTGAAGAGACAAAAATAATCACCAAAACCCAAAGACTGGTGACCTAGTGGCAAGAAGCTGTGCTGCAATCCCAAAGGAGTGTGACTAAAATCAACCAGCTGCTTTATGGAAGAAGGATGGGCAATCTCTTCCTGTGCGATTAACTGCCTCTGAAAACCTGCCAGAGGGTCAGCTATGGGTCAGTTCTGACTCGACAGTACACAACAAAAGCAACAATCCGAAGAGTAAAAATAAAGATCACAAAGAAAAATTGAGCTGTGGTGAACATGGACTTCAAGGTTTGAACCATGGCTTTTCGGATGACTAGCTATGTAACTCTGGCCAAGTTACTCAATCTTTTTGCACTTTTATTTACTCATTAGAAGTGGGAATAATTATTAAGATCTTAAAGAATTATTTATATATAATAAATAAATGTTGTGTACTGTAGAGTCGGGACAGACCCATAGCTGACCGTCCAGTGGGTTTTCAGAGGCAGTTAATCACACAGGAGGGGACTGCCCATCCTTCTTCTGCAGAGAAGTTGGTGGACTATAACATATATAATAAAACATATATATTAAGGGCTCTACATAAAGAGGCAAGAAATATAGTGAAGTTGTTGTTGTTGTTGTTGTTATGTGCCATTGAGTCGTTTCCGACTCATAGCGACCCTATGCACAACAGCTCTAAACCCTGCTCTATCCTGCGCCAACCGCACCGCCTCTGACACACCC